CACTCTATAGCGGAAGTCGCAGTAATCCGACTATCGTTCGGGCGGCTTGGGTTTCTCGAATAGGACTTCCCAAAAATTTTAGTTTTTGGAACATGGTCGGAAATTTTCAAAATTGGGAGAAAAAAAGGCGAATTTCCGCTTTTTCGCGGGGACACGAAGCGTTCATTGAAGGATAATCACGTGATGCTTGATCGCGATGAAGCAGATGCGTCTCGCTCCGAAAAACTAAACATAACGGAATGGGAAGAAAAGAGCGGCGACGCGCGACAAAATTATTTTCCAGAATTGACGTGAAATTCCCTGAGAATTCCCGGTTTTCCAGTGGTATTTCAAAATTCCCTGAGAATTCCCGGTTCTCCCGGTTTCCAGAGTGAGTGGCCACCCTGTAACAGCACTCCCCTACCAGAATTTTATCCATGATAGAATTCAATGAATTAGATACCACTAGTTGATTCATTGCTGTTTTGTGAGAAGCCGGGAGAGCTGTATTAAGATCACCATACTTTTGTTGATCGTGAGAGCTGTATTAAGTTCACGGTTGTGGACGCTCCTGCGTTGCCTTTAGCAGTTGAGTAAATACGTTGTGAGTGATCGAGACTGAGTAGAAACAGCGCGAGGAGGCGAATAATGTCGCAGTCACAAGTCAACTGTTCAATGTGGACAATCCAATGAAGTAGGCGTTACTCGCAAGATAGGCACATTAATATCGAAGTGGGAGTTTCTGTCAAGGAAGGCGTGTTCACATCACATTCGAAGGTCACCAATGTGAGGAGAGTAGATATTGACTATGTCAACCTTTGCCTATGAAAAGGTACCCCAACATAGCATCGAGTTAACATGTCTTATATATTACTAGTGAATTGGAATTGTATTTTTGTAGTGGTAGATACACTACACATTTTAACTCAATAGTTTGCATTGAAGAACGTAACACTTCTGCACTCTAATGTATAGGCCCTAAAAGTGGTATTCTAGATAAATGATTGAAAAAATGAGCAGACATGGAGAAAATATTTGTGATCGAAATGGGCCATAGAAGGCATAAAGCAGAAATCTCTACCAATGGCAACATTTCGTATGCTTTCACCATTAGCGTGTCGAGAGTCACGGGAAAAGGAAGTACAGTTCCTCTCTTGATTTTGAATTAGATTAAAAACTTGTAAGTTAGGAAACTATATGGAACTGAACACTACATTGAACAGGGTTGCCACTCAAATCAGGAAAAAAAAATTCCATGTGTTTTCCCTGTACATATTATACACAATTTATTAAGATGAAACAACAATTACTGTGATCTTGTGTGAGCTATATTGGGTATACTATATTTATTAGCTTTAATTGCTGGAAAAACAGCTGAACATACTTAAATAATGCTATAGTAAATGAAATAGTTTAGTATAGCTGAAATATCATGGTTAAATATCCCATGAACGGTCACCATTTTTTAAATGACAAAAATAGGAAACAAAATTCCGTGTATTTTCCCAGTTCGCAAAGAAAAAAAAAAAAAAAATCAAAATTCCCTGCATTTTAGGTGATTTTTAAACTCCTTGCATTTTCCAGGTTTTTCCTGTGAAGTGGTAACTCTGTTGAATATGGTTCTAAAAGAAAGGGTTGTGGAAATTAAATTTTTTTTTTTGACAATTGAATACGTAAAATATGAAGAAAAGGGAAAATATTGTAGTACATTCCTATGCAACTGAGAAGGGGAGAGGGAAAGGAACAAGACGTGGAACTGGTCTCCACCCCAGATGGCATATTTGAGCATAGCAATCCCAAATTATATAATTAAAAAAACAGAAACAAAAAAAAAATAGTCCATAAAAGTGCAAATGCAAATAACGTTTTTATTAAAATAACATCATTTGATTTTTTAATAAAGTAAAAAAGGCTACGTGCATCAGTCACTCTTTAATCTATCTGTTTTGATTTCCATTGAGGTAGATACGAATAACTGTCCATTCCAACATGATTAAGCATTAGGCTGAGGTGTTAAACGCAGGTAAGGCTTTCCAGAAGGCATCTCCTTGACCCTAACACCTTTAGGGAAGAGAGTGGGCAGGTCAGCTTCTTTGATGTTGGGCAGAACCATGCAATCTTCTCCTTGCTTCATAAAAAAAGAAAAAAAAAAAAAAACGTATTTCATCAGAGGTGATAAATTATCAAACTAACTATTAATAATTATAAGTATAACAACACAAAAATATATGCAGTTAACGTTCTTCACCGAATTTAAATTAGAGCAATTTTATGATTTACAGTGTGCAAAATAAATCACCCGGAGTAACCTTTGTTCTAATGATCGGATTTTCATGAACTAAGTGTCAATGTTAATGGTTCCAGGGTTTGACTTCAACCAGGGATCTATCTAGTTTTTCCTGAGAGGTACCCATTTTGTGAAAATTTAGACATAATTTGTGAAAATCAAAAATTATATTAAAAAATCAACGCAAAAATATGGATTTATCGTTTCTTACGGTATACAAAAATAAATTTTTTAGATAAAGTATTTCATGAAACTACTGTTTTTCCTAAAGTTGAATTTGTGAAGGTACCGCTGATCGGACCAGTGGTAAATTTGGCCTGGACAGACCCCTGCTAATTATTCAGTTGCGAAATCAGAAACGAAAATGTATTTTATCTGAATTAACATATATATATATATTTACATATTTCGATTCCAGACCCTCAAAATAAGGGTTTAAATTTCTAAAAAATTGGATCAAAAATTGGGGTACTAGGCCAACTATATATATTTGGCGTAATCCAAAAAAAAAGGTTCAAGGGATAGAGCGCTTGCCTTCCAAAGAGATGCCCGGGTTTGAATCCCAGGGGTGACTGGTCGATACGAATTCCGCACCTGGCTTGCACTGATCACAGTATTGATGTCAAACATCCTCAGTGGTAGACGGATCATAGGCTAAAGTTCCCTTGCCGTCAGGATAACCGCGGGCGGTTTTTCTCTCCATGTATCGCAAATGTGACAAAAAGTTCTCTACACGAAAGCAAAAATTACCCAATACTTGATCCAGGAGTTCCGTTGTCTCCTAGCTTGGGTTCAGAATTTCAAGGATACGGAATTGAACATGAGTAGTCGTCAACCCAAAATTGGGTCAGCAGTTCAAGGACAGATAAAAAACTAACTATGTTATTGACAAGGGAGATTTACTTAATGTTTCTCCATTGCTAACTAACCAAGTTGAGACAGTAAAAAAAAATCAAGTTTTTCCATTCATCGTTTTGTGTTGATTTCGGCCTAAAAAGCGAAGATTGTTTTCACTTTAATCTGCTTTGAAAATAAAATTTGAGCACATGAACTTCTTTTATGCCATTATTTCTATTTAAGTTGTTTTTAACTTTTTTTAATATGAATATTTTAGACTAAAACCAAATTTACATTAATTATTTAATTTTTAATATAGAGTTGTAGGGTAAATCACGAAAAAGGTTCCGGAAAAAAATTAGATAATAATTATAATGCACATTTACAAGGTTTTATTTAATATACAACATTTCTTTTTACTGATTAAACTTGTGAATATTATTGTTCACAGATATGCATCAAATGGATAGCAAGAAAAAAATAACTACATAAAGAACACTAAATTTTTAGCTTCCATACCTTCCAATCAACGGGAGTAGCAACATTCTGATTTCTTGTAAGTTGCAAGGAATCGACAACCCTCAGTATTTCACTAAGAACAAATAACATGATTTAAACATATATTATAAATGTGAATAAAAATAATACTTGGAAAACTTTCTTATTTGTTACAAAGAAATAAATAATTAAGTGGTAAATAAATCATGATACATCTTTTTCTTTGCATAATTTTTTAATGTTACTTCGGAAAAAAGATTGGAATTTTTTTTAGGGGGCAAAAAAATGACTTATTTTCATTAAAAATGTAAATATATACACACAATGAAAGCAGTAGATTATACGGCAATAACATTAAAAAAAAATGTAGTTTAAACAGCAGACCATGAAGTGACTGTTTTTATTGCTTTTTTTCTAATTGGTAATAAATGGAAGCGACAATATTTGGATAAATTTCTCAAACTTGTAATCTAAGAAAAGGATTACAAGTTTGAAAAACTTATTCAACCTATAAAAATATAGATAATTAAACAATAAAAACATACTATTTTTTATACTTAGCCATAAAATAAATAAATAAGTTATCCTAAAATATGAAACAAAGCTGTAAGAAAATAAAATACAAAAGTAGAACTTATCAATCAATAAAATAAAAGAACAATTTTTTAACAGCTATGTCTTTCCAAAAAAAAATAATAAAATAAACAAATTAATAAAAATATCATACAAATAATCTGCATTTAATTGAAAATAAATCATGATGAAGGATTTAAAGAACTGAAGAGGGGGAAAAAACTTTAAAATGTAATATGTTAAATTTTTTTATTTAAAAAAAAAAATCATAAATAAGATGGATAAATATATAGAAAATATAAATTACAATGGTACAACCACAAAATTAACTAAAAAAAAAAAACACTTAAAAACTTTTTTAGAATTAACACTAAACCAACACAAAAAAAAACTAACAATAATAAGTTAATTAATGTTATTCATTTAATTGAAGTTAGCCAGAATATAACAAACTAAACAAAATCAAATTATAATAAACTGAAAATTTATTAAAAACACCAAATTAACTAATATAAAACAATATTAATTATAAAAAAATGCAATATATTTCATATCTAATTATGAGCAAAAAAGGAAAACTTACTAATCAAATTAAATAAAAACTATACTTGAATTGTTAACCATTCTTTTAACTATCATTTCAATATGTTCATTCCATTCTATCATTCATTCCATTCTATTTAATATGTTCATTCCATTCTTTTAACATAATAAAACCTATACAGGAGTTTTGAAATAGATAAACTGAATTTTTTTTAAAAAAAAAATCTTTATCTTAAAACTCATGAATAAGAACTAATTTATTAAGAAATTTATTGCTAACAGAAAGAAAAACCCTCAAAACTTATAGGAATGAAAATGTATCATTGCTTGCAAAAAAAAGAAAGCTGCAATCTGCTTAGTAAAATAATCATCTGTTTTTAGTTATAAATAATTGTAAACTATCTTCAGCCTTTATTTCTTTTACCTAACAGAAAAAATATTATAAAAGCAGATGTGATTCTACATCAGGCAAAACTTGCAAATGATGAGGAATTCACTGAGGAATCAGAATTTATTGAATTAAAAAATATTGTCTCTTTAAGATACATAAAATAAATAAACACAGCATACAATAAAAAAAAACCTTTTGTTTGTTATGATAATGTATTATTCAAATCTTTAAAACAATAATTTGTCATATAAATCAAGGATAACGAAAATTGAGAAGTAGATTAAAAAAAAAAATATCAATAATCTCCTAACTTGCAAGTTCCTAACTTGCACAACACTTCCGAAACGTTATAGAATAATAGAATCTTGAGGATAAACTTAATGACGGTCGGTCTGGGAAAAAATCTGATTATTTCTTTGAATCCACTATTGTGCATGCTGAAATTACTATTGAAGAGTGAACTCCCGCAATTTGATAGGCTGATAAATTTCCTGACAATTCCTATTTATGGGGCAAAATTATTTTCTGAAAATTAGCGAACTTTTTGTTTCAAACATCGTTTTCCCTGACGATTCCTGGATTATCCCGATACTCCTTGTGCGCACAAACCCAGTATATACTCATGTATGAATATGTTTTAAAATTATTTTTCATGTTTCAACTTTACTTTTCAGGATATATCTGTGATATTTGTTACCCACAGTGCCCTTGCCACCCAATTCCATGAATAATCAGGGCTCTACCGTATCAAAGATTAAGCAAAAACTTTACCAAAGAAGTAATATTATACCAAAAGCAATAATAAATAATAGAGATTAATCATAGTACTTTGCATCACGATAGAATCCAATAACAAACTGAGGAGTAAAAAAAAAAGAAAGAAAAAGAGTAGAGGCTAATTGCCATTCTCAAATTCGCCAAGTGGCATTGAATGCCATTAATAGAAAGAATTACAGCTCAATTCAAAAGATGGATATTTTTTAATTATTCCTACACTTCACGTGAGAAAAGGGTATTTTATTAAAGAAATATTTTATATAAAAAAACAAACTAGGAAATGCTTAAACACTTGAAAAATTATTTGAAAAATTTAAGCTTTCTATGCAAAGTTGAATTTAAAAAATTGTTTTAAGATTAGATAAATAAGTAAGTATCAAAAATACTCATTTTAAGATATTTTTGTGAAAATAACAGCACGGTTTCCTAAGTCAACTTTTTGGAAATTGATTAAAGCACTGAAGGAAATTGATTAAAGCACTTAAGTCAAAAATGAGTAAAACCTCTTTTTGGCATCAAAAATAAAAGTTCTGCATGGCAAAAGTGAGGTCACTTTTTAAACAAAATAAAAAAGTAATTTTTGGCTACCATTTTCAGTATTGGGATACAAACTTGCCACAAGAAAAAAAGAAGGTTACAAGTGACACACTCAAAAATAAATAAATGCTGTTCAACAGGAATTTATTCTGAGAAATAAATCCCCAAATATCATAATACATACTCGAAATTGCGACCCGTGGTAGCAGGATAGAGCATCGAAAGTTTCAATCTTTTGTCAGGACCAACGATGAACACCTAATTAAAAATAATAAAGGCATTTAATTTTGAACGAACGAAAAGTGTTACGTCTAATGAATTTTACTTCAAAATAAATAAATAAATGAAGTTGAAATAAATTTTTCTATCCTATAAAATTTTGTTGAATCTATTAAAAGAATAAATCAAACAAAAAACCAGTTCAGTCTACATGAGCAAGCATCAGTATAATCCCCTCCCCTCCGTAAAATGGCTTCTGGGAGTAATTGCTGAATTTTAGCGTATCGTATTTTCATTTTATGCTGTGCAGTTTAATAGCAATACTTTGTATGTAACCAAATATATACTACTTTATTACATTAAATCAGTTCATTTTTGTCTAATTTATTTTTGAATCAATAATCTTTAGTAGTTTTTATTTAAAATAATAATAATATAATAAAAAAAAAAGCTCACTTAATTTTTTTCTTCTTAAACTCTTGCTATTAGCCAATCCAATAGAAGTCTCTAAATTAAAAAAATTTCAAAATATTTTGAAAGTGGGGTTTTTTTCTTAAAAAAAAACTCCTTTTTAATTTAAATAATCACACTTTTGTTTCATTTCAGAGTCGAAGCTTGAAATCATTACTTACAGTCAGAGTTTCAATCTTTGTTCAATGCATGCATGTAAAATATTTTTAATGACTTCTGTTTTCCAAACAATTAAAACCAAGCTTAAGTTTATCCTTTCACTTAGAATTTGGCCATTAGTCAATCCAATTTTATAATTTGTAATAATAAAAAATAAAAATAAATAATAATCCAGTTATGCCTTAATAGCAGCTTTTTTTACATCAAATAATTTAACATCTTGTTTTATTTAATAAAATAATTAATTTCGCATCATTGCATATAAGAAAAAGTTTAATAATATTTAATTTCAGTGTACAAAGAATTTATACTACATATTGCATTAAATTTAATAATGATCCATTGGATAAAAAAAAAAAAATTTATATTTCATAAAACTTAACTAAATACTAATATTTTTAATTGTATACAGTGAAATAAGAATATTGATTAAGTAATACTGAAGTATAGCATTTTTATATTACAGACAAGCAGCATTGGCTAGTTTAAACCTTATTATATATAAAGAAAAATTCATATTTCATAAAACTTAAAATTAATACTAAATATTATTTATTGCACGCAGATAAATAATTATTATAAATAAATCGTACTGAAATACATGCATTTTTATATTACAGACAAGCAAGGGGATAAATCACTCTTTAATAAATATTACTGAAATAAAATTTAAGTGTTTATTGTCATGTTAAGTGGAGGTATAAAGTAATATAAAAACATATTGAAAACATTCAGTTCCTTTTTTAATGTTAGCATATTTAAAGAACAAAAGCAAATTCTTTTGTATTATTATTGAAAACATTATTTAATAGTTAAATGCGAAAATATACACTAGGAATGGCTTAGTTAATTTTAATTAAAGGCTTAAAATATTAACAGACATATTGTTTAAAAAAAAAAAAACAATGAAAAAGATAGGGGAAAAAACCCAATCTAAACCAAAAAACCAGTTTCTTTTTGTTAAATTTGAAAGAATGAAACCTTAAGGGATTTTATTTTCCGAAAAATTAAAACAAAGCTTATGCTTATTATTTCTCTTAGAATTCGACCACTAATTAAAGTGTTAAAAATTTTTATTTGTAAGAAAAAAAAAACATCGCAACATTTAATTAAAAAAAATTTATTTCAATTAATTTTCAATATTTTTTTAAATGTGTGTAAGTTACATGTTTTTATAGAACTTCAATATTTCAAACAATAAATCTTTAATGGTTTTAATTTTCAAAAATAAAAATTAAAACAAAGCATATATTTAATATTTTTTTCAAAATTCGGCTAATGTCAATCCAATTTCATAATTTTAAAAATTAAAAAAAAAAAAAAAAATCCAGTTATGTTTTAATAGCAGCCTTTTATACATCAAATAAATTAACATTTTGTTTTATTTAAGTGTTGTGTTTTAAGAAAATAATTACTTTTGCTTGTTTTTTAAGAATGTTTTTTATTTAAAAAAAAAGCATTATGTTAGCTAATATGTTTTCATTGTAAAAATAAAATTGTGACATAGCATAACCATTATTAACCATTCTTATGTTATTACATTTTTCTAGTTAAAAAAATACAAAAGTTTGTATAATAAAGGGTCAATTTTAAAAGCAAATGGTTTAATAAAACTTATTTTTCCTGTTTCCATTTATAATTGTAAAAAAAAAAAAAAAATTATAGTTAATTTCAATGACAGGTTTAGCCTTGATGATAGAAAACTTAATTTTCTTCAAGAATAAAGATACCAATAAAAGTCTACAAGTTTCAAATTTCATGCTACTGATAACCATGTGAAAATTATTTTAACCAATATGCTTTCATTGCAAAGATAAAATCGTGATGTAGCATAATCATTATTAACTCATAGCTACCATAGGAAAAAATCCAGTAGATTTTACGAAATAATATAAATTTCATGATAATTGCTGCAAAATGTACTAAATATTTTACACATAGGGAGATTTTTACAGTCAGCAAAATAGAAAAAATGCAATATTTCCCAGTTATGATTGACATTTAATGAACTTGAAATGTTATATATTATGTTTATTCATAATTTTGAATAGTAATAGGCATTTAATTCAAAGACAGTTAACAGAATATTTAATTAATTTAAAAAGGAGTTTCTAAACAAAAATAAACTGAACATTTTAGAACAAAAAAAGTTTTAAACTGATTTTTATAAATGAGGCTCGCTTTATTATGTATTAGTATAGTAACACTTATTTAAATATATAAGCGAACAATAATCTACTCAAAAATTATATTTCAAAAGGGATTTTTTAACGAAACTTAATCAATTTTAGGGAATTTTCTAAAATATACAAAAACCAGGAGAATTTTTATGAAACCAGTAGACCAGGAGAAACTGGTAAAATCCAGTAGTCTAATAGAACCAGAAGAGTTGGCAACTATGTTAACCATTCTTATGTTATTACATTTTTCTAGTTAAAAAAATATAAAAGTTTGTATAATAAAGAGACAATTCCATAAGCAAATGCTTTAATAAAACTTACTTTTCCTGTTTCAATTAATTTTAATGACAAGTTTAGACTTGATGATAGAAAACAAGAAGATGCCAATAAAAATCAATAAGTTTCAAAAGCTCAAAAAAAGGCATTTGAAACTTGTTGACTTTCGTTAGTATCTTCATAAATTTTTGAACCAAATAAAATTCAAGTATATTTTTCCGTTTTAGCTTTGTGGGATTATTCATTTGGTAGTTCCTTATACTCACAGCTCGAGCAGTTAAAGGTAAACCATCCTTATCTTTTTCATCAGGATCTATCATTCCTAACTGGACAGCTAACTCTCTCTTTTCATCAGCAATAATAGGGAATGGAAAACCCACATCCTTCAGGCATGCATATGCTTTGATGTCCTAAATTTAAATCAAGATTATTTATTATAGAAAACTTTTTCTTTCTAAATAGCAATATAGTTATATCAAATAGGTAGTCGATAGTCCCTTGCCAAATTATTAAATGCACTATAAAATTCTATATAAAAACTTAATTATCAGGTGATAGTATGCAGCTTTATTGTTTCGACGTGACTGTTTGCATTTGTTTACGCTCGTATATCCATTGGTGAAATTAGACGATATATTATATAAATATAAAATATTTATTACATCAGGCATTATATTAGTATATTATAATAATTAAATCAAATAGGCGCACTATAGTGATTTAATAGTGACATGTTTTGCACAAGTTTATAGGCAATACTTTTATATTTAAACATACATGTAATGGGTTTTTATTCAAAAGATTTTTATATACTTCCTATGCGTATTTATTTTTAACACATTGCATTACAGTGTTAACCAATTGATATACGAACCAGTTTCAGCAGCGTAAAAACAATAAAGCTGAATAGAATCTTATAATGCATCTAATAATTTGGCCATGGACTGTATTTTGATTAAACATTCATATTTCTTCATTTCTTTCGAATGGAATTTTTAAAAAATATAATTCTACTAGGATCAGCCAAAATAAAATAAAAAAATCAATAGATAAAATAAGTATGTTTAAAAAAGCCCAAATGCATGGGGTGTTTGAATGAAAACTTAAGAATGAGTTTTTCCTTTAACACACTGGCAGTTTTGATGCTTTTCTTTCTTTTGTGTCTAAATGTTTACACCTTTTTCTTCTTCTTTATACAACTGTTGTTCTTTTCACACTCCAATAAAAAAAAAAAAAAAATCTGGTACAATGAGTCATTTTTCTCTAATATAATTCAAGATGAGGGGGTGTTTTTGTACGAAAAAAAAGAGTGATGAAAAAAAAAAAAAAAAAAAAACAAGCCTTTTTTGAAGTACAGAACTATTTACAGACAGATAATGGTGCGAGGTTCTTCAAGTGCATGCCATTTGGGAGGGGGGGATAAAAAATACTTTCTACTGTTTGTCTAAGATAGGTACTCTGACCGTCACAAAGTCTGTGGCAATCTGGTGCTATGGGAACAAGAAGAGGGCATTTTAGGGAGGGTAGCTTCGATGAAGAGGTCTCCTTTTCTCTCACCAAAACCAGTCCTAAAGAGGGATCCCGCACCCCTACTTGAAATAATCATACCTCGTTACCATAGTCACCGTCACATCTCCAGACGAATGTCTGGCAGAGTACCTCTCTTAGACAAACAGTACACGCTTAACTGCCGGAGGGTAAAATAAATTTACTCAGCAGCTAAATTACAGTACATTAGAATTAAATTACATTGTTTTCGTAAGACGAATGTTTTTCTCTTTCACACTATAATTCGAAAATTAATTCTAAAATATTAACAAAAATATGAAATACATGGTTCATTCCTAATAAAATTTTGTTTTATTTATTTATGTTTTAATAAAAACAATCTCATTTTGTGACATGCATTCTCAAGAAACTAGATTTTTTAATTCTATTATTTTTCATTGAAGCGTTAAATCAGATCAGAAAACTTTACAATGAAAAATGGTCATTCATTTAGCTGTATATTCATACATCAGATAAATAGGAGCGTTAACTTTCTAAAATTATCATGTGTTAATTCAATATAAATTAACACTAAACATACTAACCCTTAATGTATACCTATTTCTACCATAGCCGGTCACATGACCGGACTTTATGTTTCTTGATTGAATGTATGAAATATGGATGTTAGGAAGGAAATAAACTAAAAAAAACTTTATTATGGTTAAAGAAAATTGTAAATTGCCAATTTTTATGTACAGTAGGGAACCGATTATCCGGAACGGTCGGGACCATCGCTATTCCGGATAACTGATTTTTCCGGTGTTCTGAATCGCTCCAAAAAGCCGTTTTTTTTATTGTTAAACCCAACTTAAAAAAAAGTATTTGAAAATAATCTTAAAAAGAAGAAAAAACGATGAAGTAATACACTAATGATTATTTCCAAAATGATGGTAAGGTAAAAATCTTTCAAAAAAGAAAGAAAAATCCTAAAATCTTATGAGGAGAAAAATCTTTTTTTAAAAAAATGGCGAGAAAATTTATCGAATTTCGTTCCGGTTTTTTGGTTTTCCGGTTTTCTGATTTCCGGATAACGGGTCCTGTACTGTATTAAGAATTTTTAATTCATTGTTCAACACATTTTTTACACATACAGGGTGTTTTCATTGTACATTTTCTGCAAATATATTTCTTCTAATTATTATTATTTCTATAATTCTTATAATTAATATTATTTCTTTCAGAGCCTGTGCTGTCTTGATTGTTTCTAAAATTTTTCTAGGTAAAAAGTAACAGTCAGGTAGAAATGAAGTAAAGTTATCAAAATGATATCCAAACTACTTATCAAAACATTCAGTTTTTGTCACTTTTTCTGACGCAATTTTAGGAACTTTCTGGAAATTTGAATTCACAGTTACTCTGGTTAAACTAACATTGCAGAAATATGCAACTAATCGAATGTAATATGTTAAACGTGCATTACATCGTAAATTCAGAGCCGATAACCTTACAAAGTAATACATTTTTCTCCTGGTCAAATGATCAGTTGTGGGAGAAATAGTCACACGGCAAGTATTATTCGAAACAAACAAAATATATATAAAAAAAGAATATTAACTGTATATAATTGTTAGAAAAAGTCATGAAGTCAAATGTACGAAAATATGAGATGATAAACCATTTTTGATGCAAAAGTTCTTAAACGGTCATTTGACCGGTTATGGCATGTTTAGTGTTAAATACTTGTTAATTAAGTCTCTCTCTTTTTTTTACACGACACAAACTTGACATCGAAGTTTGAAATCATTACTTACAGTTCTTGAGTTGTCGGTTTATAGCATAGAAATTCCTAATGCAAATTTTAGTAAAAAAAAGAGGTAATATATGAAGAAATATTAAGATATAAACAGAAATTCAGAAATAAGTGAAAATACGAAATACTTTTCAGAACTATTAACATAGAGAAATACAAGCTATATTTAAATATTATAGAAAGACATTGTATTTTACCTCAGTCCATTTTTTGTGACTCAAGACATCATCACAGGAAAGAGCTATGAGTTTTACATCACGTTTCTCAAACTCTGGAGCAAGTTCAGCCGCCCTACCAAGTTCAGTAGTACACACTGGAGTAAAATCAGCTGGATGGGAAAATAAAATAGCCCATCTGCAAAATGAAAGTTCACAGTAATAATTTGCTATCAGGGGACTGTCTAGACATTCTGTGAAAGGTCCTGTTTTTGCAAAAGTGTGAAAAAACTGCTCATAATTTATGAATATAAAATAAGTATTAAGTCACATTCTTTCTACCAGGGTCCTGCTTTTGTGAATTTGTGCAAATAGGTTCCTGTTATTGTAAAAATTACTAAAAACCCTTTCAAGAAGTTTTTAAATTGTAAATAGATACAAGATTCTGCTCAACAATTGCTTCTACTAAATTAGAGATGCAACATACAAGTATTTGGTATTTAGCATTTACTGCTCAACGCAGAATATTCATTTTGGACGAATAATGGAAAAAAAAAAATTACTCACATTTTTAATAATTTCAACTGACATATTTTAAATAACGCAATTTAGTTATATATCACTTTTAATGTGTTACGCATTAAGTAAACTTAAACAATTCGTAAATTTATAATATTTTATTTAAAAAATTGCCAGAAATTAATTTTATAATCCATAATATTCCATTAATTAATTTTATGAATTAATATAAATTGATCAATTATTTATTTACAAAAAAAATAAATTATCATTTAATATGTTTGTAAAAGTAGAAATATTTTCTTAGAATACTACATTTGGAATTTAAACTTAGGGAAATTTGGAAAACATCGCACCTCCCCACCAGAAAGGGTTTATTTGATTACCAAAACAATAATGAAGATAAACAAATTTGTGAAGGGTTCGATTAAAAGATAAATTACTTAGTGAAGGGATTTCTTCCGAACAGAGCCCCCCCCCCCCCGGCAATGTAAAAGTAAAACTTTTATGTTAACAGAATAAAAATACATGATAAAATCAAACCAAACTTATGCCCGCATTTTTTTGTGAAAAATTCTAAATTATTAATAATATATCGGATAGTTTAATAAATTAAACAATACGTACGATTCACCAATCCAATCATGAAATTGAATTTTTCCTACAGTCGTATCTGCACTAAAATTGGGAAATAGGTCACCTAAATTAACCATGACTATGCTAAGAAAATAACGCTATTTTACGGATTAAATATGTCCACTTAAATTTGATACACCGGATACACTCTTTATTTAATTATCTACCATCAGATTATAAGAGGCATCAGATAACCTTGCACTTTAATTTGAGGCAGTGGCTGTAGTGTGGATTGCAGAAGAGTACGAGAGCTCTTCGCATTAGCTTACAGCTCTTATTTTATGGCTATTGCACTGATGATCTGATTCCCACAGCTATCTTACCGATACTAACAACAGCGCTACTTTACAGAAACTAATCCATCAGAACAGTAGCAATTTTATGAGTAGAAAAGTAATTAGCGATCAAAATGGGCTGCAGGTGCCGTAGAGCAGAACTCTCTATCTATGGCAACACTTCACATGCTTTCCCCATTAACGTGTGGAAAGTCATAGAGGAAGGAAGTATGTTAGTTTCTCTCTTGATTTTCATACAGATAAAAATCTTTTAAGTTGGAAAACTGTATGGCACTGAAAACTAAATTAAACATAACTCTAAAGAAAAGCATCGCGGAAATTTTAAAAGATATTTTTATTAAATAAAAAGGGAAAATATCGTAGTGCTTTCCTGTACAACTGAAAAGAGGAGGAGAGGGAAGGGAGAAGGGCCAAAGGCATGATACCGGTCTCTCCCCAGATGGCGTATTCGAGCGTTGCGATCGCCAATAAGAATTTAAAAAAATGTAATATATAAAAAACATTTATCAAAAGGAATTTATATATATAAAAAAAACTAGATAATTCGTGTCCCGCAGTGGACTGATCGTTAAGACACGGTTCCGAGCAGATCACCGAAGTCAAGCATCACTGGCTGCGGCCAGTGTGCGGGTGGGTGACCACTTGGATCAGTCTGCGTAGGGACCGAGGGTGTGCGGTATTGGTCCTCGTTAAACTGTGCTACCGTAAAGTGCTCGACTTCACGCGCAGGTCATCGGGCTACCGATGAGGGGATGCCATCCCCTCCGCAGAGGATCAAAATTGTGATGGCATGTCTTCGGATCATCCTCCGGGATGTTTCCCAGATCGTCGCCAATAGCCAATTGTGCAGCTCTAGTGCGACGTAAATTAATAACAACAACAGCAGATAATTCGTTTACTAATTTATTATTAACCAACTTTAAAATTTTTAATCTATTTGAAAATGAAGACAGAAACTAACGTACTTCCTTTTCCTTCCTTACGAAAAAATTGAAGTCATTTTTCGGAATAAATGAGATATCTTTTAAAGGTATTGTTCTACATATAAAAATTATTATTTTTCCTTTCGAAAACAGCATATAATACCAAAAAAAAAAGAAAGAAAAAAAAGTGCAATCCGGATAATATATTTACTTATTTATTAATTTTATTTTATATTACTTTTTTCAACATCTCTTTCGGTATTTTAGGGTGAATACAGTGTTCTATATATAAAAACGAGTATCTTTCTTTGTTAAAGAGCGAATAATGGCGGAAAAATAGACAAAAATGGTCATCGGAGGCACGGACACCTCCCCACCTTTAATTTTCAAATTCGGCCAGAAATTAGGGTTCAATATACCGAACAATCGTATCAAAGAAAATTTCTTATAGATATGTTAGGTGACCCACAGTGGAGCAAAATATTTTTTGTTGACTAATCGGGAGAGGGTGCTTAAAGCTAAATATTCGCAAGAGATTCGCGTGAAGCTTGACGTGGTTGGTTGAGCTCTGCGGACAAGTCTGGATATAATCTCCGGAGGCACGCACACGCCAACAGCAATCTTATCTCTATCCAGAAGTACAAAGAATTTGAGGAGAAACAATTTCAACAATTTTTTATCAGTTTTTACGGTGGAAAATATTTTAACTGGTATGGTCAATAACTAAATACATTTCGAACGCAAAACTTGATAATTTGAAATCAAGTGGTACAACCTTTAAGTTGATTTTTAGAAAAACACTTATATGCTTAAAGTTGATGTGCCACAGTTATTTAAAATTAAAGAGCGTACAATGGATCGCTCTACTCCCGTCATTTTGCAATCTTGATGAAAGAAATTAGTATCGACAATTAAAAATCAGAGAACTTAATCAAACTCTTCTCATTTGCGTATCAACGTAGAAAAATTTATTAAAACTTTCCCTGGGCAGCCATTTTTATGCCAAAATATCATTTATAACCGTAGTATTCTTTGAAAAGACTTACATCAACACTATAGAGAGATTTAATTTCATACTAGTCCTTCGTTTAGCAATCATTTTGAAAAATTTAGAATCGTGAGGAAAAATAAAATAAAAAATAAAATACTACCAAACTCTTTTTTTTTTCGTTTAGCAAAAGAGAGGAATTTTGTAAAATTTTCCTGAACAGTGAATTTTCTGCAAAAACTTATCCAGAGCGGTGAAAAGTGTTCCGTTGCTTCAAAACTAGTGAATTTGGGGAAATCATCTTTAGAATTTATTTAAAGACTGGGAAGTTGTTTATAAATGGCATTAATGTGTGATTTTCCTATTGAAATATGAAATATTCTTTGTTTACAGATTTTTAACAATAATGATCTATATTTATATTTAGTATATATATTTTGAAATAATATAACTTAATTTGGAAATACTTATTACATTTAATCATATTCTGCTTGGAATTTTATTCATTTATTTATTTTATTATATCACTTAGAAACTTACTCGCATTTATTGGGGAGATAAGACTTAGGAAAATTTATACAAATTAAATAAGATTTTTCTTTAAACTAATTTTTTATCTATAAATTATTTAAATTTTTCTTATTTATCTTAAATATCAATTTATAAAAGTTAAATACCGCTACTTACAGTAATATTTGAAAAATAAATGCCTAATAAACAGCTGTTTCTTAGTTCCCTAATTCTATTTAGGATTAAACCTTGTGGCTTAATCCTAATGATTTAAAATATGATTAAACCTTGGAACATATTATCAGTTTCTTGAACCATAATGAGGTAGAAAATCACCGTAACTGTAATAAAGTTTCAAATTGAACTATCTTTTTGAACAAGTTCAGTTTTTGTCAGTATCTACAAAAATGCAAAATCTCTAGGAGCAAGACATCAATTTTTTAGGGACCAGCATGTTATCGAAAAGAAAATAGCATTTAGTTCTATCATGAATTTCAGAGAATCATTGGAGAGCAGCAAATGCATTTAGACGCCATGGTGATCGGGATTTGTAGATCCTCATGTGCAATCAAGTTTAAGAAGTAAGATAATAAAGAGTTTTTGCCCAGAGTTCGCTTAACGTTAACCTTAATGCTTACCTAATTTTTTACCCCACAGAGACACTGCCATATGTGGGAAATTTTTGCACGCGCGCTGTTAATAGCGTTAATGCAGCGGGAACCGCAATGCTTTGTAAAAAATCTCTAATATAATTGAACTTGGTACCATATTAGGATTGCAACACATTCTAGCAATAATAATGGTTCAAAACGCTGTAAGAGTTGATTCATCTCACCCTGTCCCGAAATCCTTATACAATGCATAAATTTAAAGAAAAAAAAAACGCTGTTTTTACTCATTATAACAGTCGGTCATCAATGAATCCTGGGGCCAGAATAGCCTGGTTGGCAGCGTGCTGGATTCACGTTCGCGAGAACAGGAGTTCGAATCCAACCTACAGAAGACTCCCTGTGTAGTAAATGGTACACGTTAAATCTGTCGGGTCACAAAGTCCTCCATGTTCCCATTACAAATTACATACTGAGTTTGAGATTGATTGTTTTCTAGTTCAGGTCAAAATTTCGATCTGCGGATGAATTCACCCATTCATCCGCAGATCGCGAGTGAGACGTATGGGCGTGACAGAAGTCGAATTCTTGGCTATAGACGGCACCACCGGAAAACAAGAACAATCGTACCCCTTGCCTAAATGGACTACGACAACAGCAACAATGAATACTGCAGTTCAAAATAGTCCTCAGACAGCAAATGTTTCAATTTATTTTTAATTCTATCTATTGAGTTATATCCCCCCTCCCTAAAGGGTCTTAGAAATACCCATGCCAATTCCTATTTGGCAAACATATCATTATCTAGTCTTTACTCATTTCTGAATTGGTTAGCTGTCCTGATATGTCTTTCGATTGTACAGTAGGGAACTGATTATCCGGAACGATCGGGACTATCGCTATTCCGGATAACTGATTTTTCCGGTTTTCTGAATCGCTACAAAGAGCCATTTTTTTCATTGTTAAACCCAACTAAAAAAAAAATGTTTAGAAATATTCTTAAAAAGAAGAAAAAATGATGAAGTAATACACTAATGATTATTTCCAAAATGATGGTAAGGTAAACATCTTTCAAAAAAGAAAGAAAAATCCTAAAATCTTATGAGGAAAATTTTTTTTTTTTTTTTTAAATATTGCGGGAAAATGTATCGAATTTCGTTCCGGTTTTTTGTTTTTCGGTTTTCTGATTTCCGGATAACGGGTTCTGTACTGTATTATGAAAAATATTTTATTTTCTATCCACAAATTTTTCCTTCTTCTATTAATAGAATATTTTATATGTATTTAAAATTAATATACTGATTTTATAATTGCATTAGGTACGACTCAAACTACCATGGTGGGAAAAAATAATAATGTCTTAAAAAATAAATAAATAAGTAAAAAGAATAAAAAAATAAAAATAATCAGATTTTTTTTTATTTAAATCAGATTTTTTTTCTTCATTTTTTTAAATTTATACCAATCATAGCTGTAATACAAAATATCAATAATACTTAATATTATTTAAAAGTAATATTATAATTTAAGTAAACTATAATTAAAATGGTTTATCTAATTATTGCAAACTACTCGCTGTAGAAATGAAATTATAGCTGGTTTTATTCAAGCTCAATGCTCTCATGAATTTGACCAAGGTCAAACATGTCAGTTAGATATTAAATGAAAAATTAAATTAATTTAGATCAGGAAACCAAAGAAGAAAAAAAGTTTTATTAGTCTTGATTGAACCATAGAGTTTAAATATCGCGCACATGACGATAATTTTTGTTCTCATAATGAAACCACATGAATCTCCGTTGAATCGAGAGATAATATTTTGGAATTCCGTTTCTCTTGTGTTATTTCAATGAAAAAAATTCCTTCTTGAAATTGTAAAGCTATAAATCGTTAAATATGGCGATTTATTGCTCCGCATTTTGTTGTAGGGAAATTTTCTTTGAAGGAAAATCTTATGCATTTCATAGGTAAGCTAATTCATCACTTTATGGAATTACAGTTGTTTTATTTATTATAAAAATGAATTATTAGGATG